ACCACAGTCAGCGAGCCCCCCTCCACACGGGCAACACCTGCTCATCTCTTGGGGGTCCTGGGGGTCCGACCAGGGGCTCAGGAAGCAGCAAGTGCATCAAAAGCCCAGGTTTTCCAAATCTTCAGTACCACTGGATATGGTCACTGTTCTATCTTAGCTCTCCTCACGGAAGTGTTGTGTTAGCTTGTCGAGCTCTTAATTTACATTTCCACAGAGCCCCGGCCCAGGCCAATGTGGGTGTCCTGACTTTAGCAGTTATATTGGAGCCTCTGTATATTATAGCAACCTTATTCAATTTGAGCAGCCCTTTTATGAAGGAAAACGTCTCTAGCTGCAGGCTGCCCTATAGATCACCTTCAGCTTTTTTCTTCCAGGTACACACAGTAGCTCTTGTTCATTCTGATAAAAGATCACTGATCATTTGCAGTCTTCCTTCTGGTTTTCTCATGTGCACAAATGCATGCATGTTACTGGTCAAGAGATTTTTTTTTTGTCCTCCTTTCTTGTAGTATCAATTTTTTTCTTTTTACACAACAAAAACTTTAGTTTTTGTTATCTAACATTTATTTCAATGTATTAAATTATTTAAAATATTTTCATGGTCAATGCAAACTTGATAAACTGACTAAGATCAGCCCCCTTGCACCTGTCTGTGTTTTGAATGAACCGGTATTAATGGGATTGTCTATTTATTCCTTGGGAATCTGAAAGAATTTGGTAAAATACCAGTGCTATGTCCTCCTTCCTGGAAGCCATTCCTGTTATGTGTGTGGTGTTGGAAATGGAACCCAGGGCCTTCACACTGAGCTACATCCTCAGTCCTTTAAATTTTTAAATCTGAGACAGCATCTTCCTAAGTTTCTATGCTGCCCGGGCTGGGCCAAAACTCACAACCCTCCTGCCTCAGCCTCCCGAGTAGCTGGGTTGACAGCCATCTACCACTGTGCCCAGCTTGAATTTAGCTTTTTACAAAGTCCATCTTCACAATCCACATAGCAAGGTCTTCCTCCCTTTTTTTCCTTCTTCCATGCACTGATTGCTGCCTTCTGAGGAGGAGGGATAGACACATTCATTACCTGATTCTCTCAGCATACAGCGTACACAAGCAGTGAAACGTCACCCCGGATGCCATACCATGCACAATTATTTTGCATCAATGAAAAAGTGACAAATACATTTAGAAAACCAGCTTGGGTTTTGTGGCAGCTGCAGTAGTTCAGAGCTCACCCGTCTGGTCTCAGAAACTGGTGTCCAATGTAGTGGTAAGAGTGGGATGCCAAGAAGGAAGGAAGGAAGGGCTGGACACGGTGGTGCACACCTATAATCCTAGCACTGTAGGAGGCGGAGGCAGGAGAATTGCAAGTTTAAGCCCAGCCGGGGCAACTTAGCCAGACTGTCTCTGAAAATGAAAACTAAAAAGGGCTGGGGATGCAGCTGTATGCAAAGGCGCAGGGTTCAATGCCCAGCACTTCAGGAAAAACAAACAGAGAAAAAAAGATTTGAGTTTCAAGTCACATCTAATAATTTGTGGCTATCATCTCTTACCATCTCAGCAAGCACCCAGCTGTCCTCCGGGATTTGGAGTTCGGTTCAGTGGACGTCTGGTCTACCTCGTACCTTTGGGAGCTCAGCAGTGCCAGCATCACCGCCTGGTGGACAAGCTGTCCACACTCGTGAACCTCTGAGAGATGCACTCAAAGCGCACTCAGACCACAGCGGCCCTGATGACTTGCAGTTCCTGGTGGACACTCCATCCTTCCCACCCACAGAGCTTGATGTGTGGAAGCAGTTCTCTGTGGATATCACCTGCCACCTGTCCTCCCCTTTCATGCCAGCCACGCTTTTATGGGTGCAGCTTCAAAAAAGATGGAAGAAATTGCTTCTGACAGACAGTGGATGTAGAAGCGACTAAACCCTCAAAGCAGCCATCTCAACAGGAGATGGTGCTGCTACTATTTCTGGTTAGTTATAGACAGTTTTTCCCCTGGGAAACAGAACAAACATCCTGCAAGTCACTATGTAACACAGGCTGGTTTCTAACTCCCAGTGATCCTCCTGCCTCAGCCTCCTGAGTGCTGGAATTACAGGCACGTGCCACCATGCCTGGTCCTCCAAGTCTTTCAAAATCTAATAATATCACATTGCTGGAAGCTAAGTGTATGGTTTTACCAACTCTGCCATCATCATTTGCAGTGACGAGTCGTAGCTCTTCATCCTGAGTGTAAACTTGGGTGGATTGAGACACCCATGGAATGGCAGTTGGATTGTGAGATTATGAGTGTCAGCCATGGCATAACTCCTGAATGGGTTCAGAGCTGAATGGGCCATTAGGGGTGGGGCTTAGTTGGAGGAAGGGGGTCACAGTTGTGACGTTGGAAACTCTATCTGTTCCTGCCCTCTTCCTGTCTGGCTCTTTCTCTGCTTCCTGAATACCACACTGTGAGTATCTTTCCTCCACCATGCCCATCTGCCATGATGTTTCTGCCTTGAAGCAGCCGACCATGGACTGAACCCCCTGAGACCACTGGAGCAGCCGACCATGGACTGAGCCCCCTGAGACCACTGGAGCAGCCGACCATGGACTGACCCCCCTGAGACCACTGGAGCAGCCGACCATGGACTGAACCCTGTGAATTCGTGAACCAAAATAAACTTGTCCTCCTTTAATTTGCAACTGTCATGTACTCGATCCCAGCAGCAGCTAATGAGTCATACATTAGCATAATGAGGGCTTTCCTATTCCCTGCGTCCCCGCGGATGTGTTAAAGAGAAATGCCAACAGCATGTCAGAGCTCCCCTTCCAGATGGCACTGTGCCCTAGAACAGCACTTCCAGACCATCAGTGCCAAACTCCTGCTTCCTGAGTCTGCCAAGGCTGCGTCAGTTGTGCTATGGTAGAAAAGAATTCCTGGAAAAGTGCATTTAAAAATCAAGCAAAACCAAAACTTTCAGTGTTGCTTTAAAAAAAAAAAATTCACTAGATTCGGCAAACATAAAATATCAGTTTTTTCTGCTTAGATTTTTAAACATTTGCTCTCTATTTCTGCATTTATCTCATTGCAAACAGCCCACAGGATGGACCCCATTTCTAGACCACACAGCAGCACCTGGCCCATGGTGCCATCTTGATTCCTTAAGGGAAATGTCGATGCTGGACCATGTCCTTCTTCATACCCAAGTGTCTCGACACACGTTGGCTTTATCTCCACGCCAAGGAAACTGGAGGGAGCCGATAATCTTAAAAGATGTGCTGTCCTTAGATTAGCTCAGTGCTGTTATACATCAAAGTTGAAATGCAAATGCTTCTAACCTTTTTGAGTTTCTCCTATGTTTACCTTATATACAGCATTTTCCAGGTTATCCCTGTAAATGTCTTTTTGAGCATTCCACTTTGTTTAAAACTCCATTTCACTGTTTTCATTGGCATAAAAGCCTAGGACTTCTGTGCACTAACATGCTTCTGATTTTCCCACTGTGTGTTTTCTCCAGTGTCATATTTTCTCCCCAGATATTTCCTTAAATAACAAGACTGTGTAATTTCACAAAAAAATAAAACATGGAGTGCCATTTTGATGCAGATGGTAACCTTAAGGTTCGTGGGTTGAAAGCTTGGTCTTCAGCGTGAAAAGTAGAGTTAACCAAGTGGTAAGGATGTACTAGAGTTGAGATCTACAGTGTGCCCCAAAAGTCTTGTGTGTTTGGAAGATGACTGGATCATGCAGTGCTATACTGTCTGTGGATTAGCCCAATGATGAGTTCATAGTTTGTGTATTGTCAGGAAGTTGGTCCTGGCTGGAAGGGTGAGTTCTTGTCCCTGCCTCCTCCCTTCTCTCTCTGTTTCCTGGCTGCCATGATGTGAGCGTCTTTCCTCCTCCACACCCTTCCGCCATGTTGTTTCTGCCTTGGAGCAGCCGACCATGGACTGAACCCTCTGAAACCACAATCCACAAAACCTGTCCTTTTTTTAAAGCTGTGGATGTCATTTATTTTGTCCCAATGATAGAAAAGTTGGCTGATGATGATAAGAAGCAGGAGACTATTAATGGTATTCAAAAAGAATCAAAACGGAAGGGTGTGTGTGTGTGTGTCAGCGTGTGTATGTGGGTTCTTTCTACTGCAGTATTGGAAGATGAAGAGAAGCGTGTGACTTTCTGGTTTATCATGGCTACCTGGTAGCATTTCATCCAGAATAATGAGTTTTAGGCAGGAAGATGTGTCGAGTTAATCTGTCTGTTAATTTGTCTCTTTCCCTTCAGTAATGAGAAGTATGAAAATTCTCTCCCTGGTAATGATGAGTGAAGGATTATTTGCACCTTGTAATAATCAGCAGCACATCAACAATAAGTTTGGCAGACAATACAGAAGAATCTAATAAGGCCGATATGACTTATTTAGAAAGGATCGTGTGTCATAAAACATTTTGTTAGCATGTTGCACTCCTTTGGAAATATGTGCCCAAAGAATCACCCCCCACACACACTTTCTAACCTGCAAGATGTGTGACCTTCATAAGAATGGTAGCAGGTCTTTAAAAATCATGGCTTTTTCCCTAGCAGGTCATCACGCACATGTCCTGATGGCCTAAGCACACTCTGTGACCACCCTACAGCCAGCCTCCACCCTGCCGTAGGGTGAGGGTTTGTCTTAGTCCATTCCCTGCTGCTAACCCAAAGCAGCTGAAGCCACGTAACCTCCCACCTCCACAGACCATCCACGTATAAGTTTAGTGCTCATGGTTCCAACACAGGAGTTTCTGTCTTGTATGATGAGATGACAACACAAAGACAGCCCACGGTCTTTGCCTTGTTCTTACAACCAGAAGCAAGTGTCGGGTCTAGTCACCCTGAAGCACATTTGCCTCAGTGTACCTTCCTGATGTTTCTAATCCAGTGCTATTTTGTAATGAGATAGAAGTTAATTAACCTGCCTCACATTCCTGTACAACCTACCTGCAGTGGGTTAAACTGTAACCAGGTTGTTTTTTTTTAATCCTTTTCCAGTGGAATTTTTATACTGTGATCTGGCTTCCATGCGGTCTATCCGGCAGTTCGTCCAAAAATTCAAGATGAAGAGAATCCCCCTCCATGTCCTCGTCAATAATGGTGAGTTCTCTTGAAATCGCTGCAAGATAGAATCGATTCTGGTGTGAGTGTGAAAACTCCCAGTTAAAACACTGACAGCCAGGGGTCAGTTTGGATGCAAACATGAGCTCTAGCTCTGCAGAAGTTTCTGCAAACCAGAGATGCATTTTGGTGCAAGCATGAGCTGCAGTTCAATTTGAGCACACGGATGAGCTCCAGTTCTACTAAAATTCCTCCAAACCAATTGTCAGCTTTAACGCACACATGGACTTCATCATTACATTGTTTGGGGAGTACCCTCTTTCCCAAGATTGGATTCCCATGGGTCAGAAGTCAGGAATACACGTGCCTTTTCTGGCTGCTAGTTCGTTCCAGACATGAGTTGGCGTTTGTCGTAAAAAGAATCCATTGCAGCCCGCTGGTGTGAAGTGGTGGTGATGTCATCCTGTGCCATGTGTGGTTGATATTTTGAGGAGTTCACCTGTGGGATGATACATCAAACTCCCACGAACGGCTGGGTGTTCCCAGAAATGTCATTCAACCCCACGCCCACTCCTGCAAACTGCTCAGTGGGCTTCAGATACATGCGACCAACCCTGTCCTGAGTTCTGCCAGGTGGCCAGCAGCCCACACCCGGATGTAGCCAGTCACTTTCAAAGTCCCCATCCCTGAATGCAGGACACCGGGGGGCGGACACTTCAGGTCTGACCGATCGGACCTGTCATGTCCAAACCATTTCCCTTTCTGCTTGAATTGAACGGGCATGGAGGGAGACCCAGTGAGGAAAGACAGAAAGGAAGCAGAGTCCAGTTAGAACAGTGGCAGAAGAGACACAAGTAGTAAACCTAGAAACGCTGCATCTTCCCTCCAGCCACATGAGATGGCTCTCGAGTGAGTCTGATATTTCACGACAGAGAAATAGCTACTAGATTACCCAGTGCCGTTACTGCACATTACTCACCAGAATTCTGCCACGCAGAACCCTAACTTAACGATTTCTGCGCAAACCCTTGGTGCCCTGTGAGATAGCAGATCCCGCACTCCGGCTCTGAGGGAAAGGGCACAGCTCCGAGTAGGGAGGGAGGAAGGAACAGCCGCCCTGCCAAGGCTGGGACCCTGTCCGTCGGACGAAAATCCTCACATTTGGTGGCCACTATTTGCTCATCTTCACTGTTATCCTTTTTTAAAATTATTCATTAAGTTTATCGGTACATTTTAGGTATGCAATTTGCTGACATTCATCATTGGGAATTTGTACCTGTACGTGATGCATCTTGGTTCTTATTTTTTTGCTCTCTTCAACCCCTCCACCCCTCTCTGTTTACAAAAGCTTTGTTTCCCTTTTTATCCTTCTAGTCTCATTGTTTTTCTTTCCTTTCTTTCCTTTCCCCTGCCCCTCCCTAGTTCCCACTTCCCCTTCGAATATTTTCTTCCTATTTCAAAATCTGTTATATATTTTGATCCTCATTTACACTTTCAGTTTCTCCCACCAGAGAAACTATTCTGTATTTACACATGTGTGTCCTGTTTATTTCACTTAAGAGTATGGCCTCAATGTGCATCCACTTAGTTATAAATGTCTGTAGTTTATCTTTCTTTATGGCTGAGTAGTACTCCATTTTATAAAAACAAAACACATCTTCTTTATGCAATCACCAGTTGATGGGCACTTGGGCTGTCTCCAAGACTTAGCTATTGTGTTTGTTTTTTGTTTGCTTGGTACCAGGAATCGAACTCAGGACCTTGCGCCTGCCAGGCAGGTGAGGCACCACTGAGCTACATCCCTGGCCTACCTATTGCTAGGTTAATCTGTTTTCTTTCTTTTCTGTAACATCAAGAGTATTAGCAGGCAGAAAAAAAAATGGTCAGATTGACAGACTTCTCCATTTGTTGGATTTGAAATTCTCACTGCAGGCTTGAAAGGAAAGACATGAGCCATACGAGTGCATGCAGTCCAACTTGTAGGATGTATTTCTGTCTCTCATTCTGTGGCTCTGATAGGTGCATCTTGTCCAGAAAGCCACGGGTAGCACCATCTCCTTTGGGTGGTACATCACGCATTACAAATGGACGGGGCTCCTGCAGAACGCTTCGCAGCCATCCTGATGTTTCCGTCTTCTCCAGGGAGTTTTAACAGTAATTTCACAAGTATTCTGTCTGATTTTACGGTTCCCTCACGCCCATACCTGAAGCTGACATACAGAAGTAGATGAGTCCCCACTCGATGGCTCTGTGGCATTCCTTCTGCAAGCTCTGACTGTAGGCTTGCTTTGTTGAGCATCCAATAGAATCAATGAGTCGAATTATAATATTAGTCACCAAAAGCGGGGCTGAGAGGAGCAGAGTCTGTTTGGCCATGCGTCTTATTTCCTCATTATGCTCAGTGCCGCGAGTAATTAGTAAGTGAACACTTGTTCACACTGTAATGGCAGGGAAAAGGACTGCGCACTCTGGACACTAATGTATACAACCCTCTTAGGGACTTTTACGGAGTCTTCTGATCCATTTCTTTCTTTCTTCTTTGAGACAGGGTCTGACTATGTAGTCCACACTGCCCTCAAACTCACTCTGTAGCCCAGGCTGGCCTCAGACTCACAGTGATGCTCCTGCCTCAGCTTCTCAAGCGCTGGGCTGACAGGTGTGCACCACCACGGCCAGCTCTGCTCCAGCATTTCAACCACAGAGGTGCAGGAAAGATGATGAATGTCAAATCTGATCACTTTCTCTAACACTCCTTCCTCCATTCCGGAACTAGAGAATTTTTGGAGAAACAGATATGTCGATGGCATTTTCTAGAGTGGATTTAGATCTACAGAGAGGTGGACGTCTCACGTACATTATTCTGTCTCCACGTGGGGATTAGGATGTGGACGTCTGGAGACATTACTCCATCTCTGTGGGCAGATCGGAACGTGGAAGTCCCAGGGGGAACATTGTTCATCTCATCATTCCCGCCTCCTCTCTCCTTCCTGCCCTTCACAGGCAGGAAAAATACAACAAGAGCCCTCACAGACATCACACTCTAGCCAAGGAAGCAAGCACTGTACAAATAATTACTCTGTGAAATGTCTTCGGCATAGGAAATGCAGCCTACAGTGTGGCAGCTCGGTCCTGTAAAATACAGCAAAGATTACATCCTCGGTATCAACTGCATGGAAATTTCCTTACCTGTCCCCCTTGGCACACCATTTCCAGGAAATATAACAGAAGCCCACTTAACAAATGAATAATGTCCCAAAATGACACTTTGTCCTTTTCTCCTCTTGTGTATTTTTTTTTCTCGTTATCTTCAAGAGCTTGGCCAGGCTGTGGCTGTGCTTGGATCCAGGCAGGTTCCTGTGGCTGACGAGCACAGCACTGCTCAGTATTTTTCTTCTAGTCCCTCTGGGAAGGAGCCCAGTTGTGGAAGAGGTGGAAGTAATGGTCACCCTGGGTTCTGTCTGAAAAGGGAGCCATGCCCAGGACTGGAGGTACAATGCTTCCTGTATTAGTTACTGTCCCATCACTGGTACAAAATACCCAAAACCATGAATTTTTGGCTCCAAGAAAAAATATCATGGTGGATGGAGGAAAGAGAGAGAGAGAGACGGAGAGAGAGAGACAGAGAGAGAGAGAGAGAGAGAGAGAGAGAGACAGAGGCTCATGGTTCTCATGGCTGAAAGGGTTCAGTCCATGGTGGGTGCTCCAGTGCTCTCAAAGGGTTCAGTCCATGGTCAGCTGCTCCAATGGTCTCAGAGGGTTCAGTCCATGGTTGGCTGCTCCAATGGGCTCAGAGGGCTCAGTCCATGGTCGGCTGCTCCAGTGATCTCAGGGGGTTCAGTCCATGGTCAGCTGCTCCAATGGGCTCAG